GCCCCCCTCCTCGAATGGTATGGTTGTTGTGTGTTTTTAAATTTTGTATTTATGTTCGTCTTTTTATCCCCTGACCCCCTTCCCTGATCGAATTGTGAGCTGCCCTGAGTCCCCTTCGGGGAAAAGGGTGGCATATAAATGAAATAAATCCTAATCCTAAAACATATAAAGAGGATAAAACATTATAAAGAGCGGTTGCAGGAACTGGGTGTGTCTAGTTGAATGAAAAGAAGGACTAGGGGGCGACACGATAGATAGCAGCCTTCCAATATTTGAGGAGCTGCCCCAAAGAAGAGGGAGTCAAGCTATTCTCCAAAGCAGGACAAGAAGCAGTGGGTGGAAACTAATCCAGGAGAGAAGCAACTTGGAACTGCAAGGAGAAATTTCCTGACACTGAGAACAGTTATTGTATTTTTCGGACTATAAGATGCTCTGAAGTATAAGGCGCAACTAAGCTTTTGGGGAGGAAAACAAGAAGAAAAAAATCTGCATCTGCCTCCTTGCAGCAAACAGCCAAGTCAGCTTTAACGCAGCTTGATTTAGCACTAGCAGCTGATTGGTGGTTGAATCAGCCTCCTGAAATAGCGCCGACGGGCTGTTCTTGGCTGCAGGGGTCGCCACTATCGCCGCCCATCACCGTTGCCACCTACCACTGCCTCCACGTGCCCCATTTTCGTGGTGATTGGTAGCGGCAGTGATCCTTGCCGCCAAGAACAGGCCGAAAATGGGGCGCGCAGAGCCCGAAAATGCAGAGGCAGCAATAGGAGGCAGCAATAACGCCGATTGGCGATAGCGATCCTCGCAGCCTGGAACAGCTGATAGGTGGCACTCCAGGAGGCCGATCCAACCGCCAATCAGCTGCTCATGCTAAATCAGGCGGCTGAAGCTGACCAGGCTGTTTGCTGCAAGGAGGCAAATTGCTGGGAGGGTGGAGGACGGTGGGTGGGCGGGGCTCCCCCAACATTTGCTGTATAAGACGCACAGGTATTTCCACCCACTTTTGTGGGGGGAGATGGGTGCATCTTACATACTGAAAAATATGGCAATCAGTGGAACAACTTCCCTCCAGAAGTTGTGAATGCTCCAACAGGGGAAGTTTTAAAGAAGATGTTGGATAACCATTTGTCTAAAGTGATGTACGGTTTCTTGCCTAAGCAGGGGGTTGGACTAGAGGACCTCCAAGGTCCCTTCTAAGCCTTGTTATTCTGTTCTATTTCAATTTATTCTGAATTCTGTTCCGTTCATGCTATCGTTTGAAGAATTCTGGGGATTGAAGCCCGCTCGCCCACCTTAAAAGTGGCCAAGCACTGTGAAGTGGTATATAAGTGCTGATGTCCGGGTTGAGAAATGCTGCGTAACGAAGTAAAAGTTCTTCATCATCATCATCTCCCTCGTCTTCTCTCTTCTCCAGGCCTCCTCGGTAGACCTGGAAGCGCCCCAGTCTTCAGACGACTACGCCGCTCAGCACGCCCTCCAACAAGCTCAGATGTCCAAGGAGCTGCTGGAACTCAACCAAGCCCTCGCTCTGAAGGAGGCCCTGGCTCGGAAACTTTGCCAGAGCGACCGCCAGCTGGAACCCATCCAGTGCCAGTCCCAAGTAAGCTTGCCACCGCGGTTAGAAGCAGGACTACTGCGGGCTACTTCTGCTGATCGCCGGCTGCCAGCAGTTTGGCAGTTCAGATCTCACCGGGCTCCAGGTTGACTCGTCCTTCTGAGGTCGATAAAAGGAGGACCCAGATTGTTGGGGGGCAAGAGGCTGACTCTGTAAACCGCTTAGAGAGGGCCGTAAAGCACCGTGAAGCAGTGTATAAGTCTTAAGTGCTAAACCTAAAAACAGAAGTCAATTCCTTTTGTGTTTCTGTCTTGTGGTCATGTGCTCCCGTTTCTCCCAAGAACTGGTTTTCCTCACAAAAGTCCCTTTGGAACATCACTTATAAGAGCCACAGGAAACCTCTTGCCAGCTTGCAAGTGTTCTGACCCAGCTCCCCAAATGCCACAAACCCTTTGAAGTTCAATCGATGATTCCTTTATTAGGAGCGCTGGCAAAAACGCTTCTCTCTCACTGCAGGCTAACAAGTCTGTCCAGCAGGGAGATGAATAGTTGTCTTCCACACCTATTCATCTCCGCTCCCTGTCTTTTATCCCCAGAGCTAGGGTGGGGCTTCGCTAGCAGCAGTGGATCTTCCGTCCCGAGAACTGGCCCATAGATTTCCATTGTTCTCCTCTCCTCTGCCTTCTGTGCATTCACGCATCAGGCACTGGACCCAGTTGTTCTTCCTCTTCCTCATCAGTCACCTCCAGACCTGGGGGCTGTTGACTCTCCATCAGAGGGCTGACGGACGGCCCAGGCTCTGTCTCTCTCCCTCTCCCTCCCTCCCTCCCTCCCTCCCTCCCTCCCTCC